TTGTTGAAAACAAATTTCTCTTTTCTGTGTTAGAAATAGAAAATTCTTGTCAGGTTAAATTGAAATTTCCCAGCAGAATGTTTAGCAAACTTACTTATTTTAGAGCACTAAGAAAAGATTATTTTTTAGAAGCCTTAGAAATTGCCTTTTGCAAAATTGAAAACATAGTCCAGGTTAAATTGAAAACGTAGTTTGCACAATTTTCAGTTTTTTATTTTCGAAAACAAAAAAGACAACTAAAAATACAACGAAAAATATAAATCAACACGAACCAATTTTCTAAACGCCTGATATTAATCGTTGTTATCTAATTGTAATTTTCTTCATGTGGGGATGAATCTACACTATCCGAGTAGGCTAAGCACACCACACCGACAGTTTACTTATTATAAGTATTTGATTTCTAAAGTGGAGAAATAAGTTATTGTTATTAAAATATACGAACAGGTACGTCGGGTTCCGGAGGTACACCTTGTGGAGCCACGTGGTGTTTGAACACCCGGCGACTTTCGAGATTCTGGCCATGGAGCCCAAGAAGAAGCAGGAGATAATAAAAGATCTTCTCAAATTCAGCAAGGGAAAAAGTATTTATGCTAAGATTGGTAAGGCGTGGAAGAGAGGGTACCTCCTCTACGGCCCACCCGGTACCGGAAAATCCACCATGATCGCGGCCATGGCTAATCTTCTCGAGTACGATGTTTATGATCTCGAATTAACGCGGTGAAGGACAATACGGAGCTGAGGAAGCTATTGATCGACACGTCCAGTAAATCGATCATTGTAATCGAGGATGTTGATTGCTCGCTGGATCTCACAGGCCAGAGGAAGAAGAAAGAAAAGGTGTTGTTATGAATTATACAAAAATCTAATTATTAATTTATTATTGCTGCTGTTTAACTTTGAATTTTGAAACCTCCACAACAGAGGATGAGGAGAAGAAAGAGGAAGAGGACCCAATTGCGAAGAAGATGAAGGAAAGGGGCGAGAGCAAGGAGAGCAAGGTCACTCTGTCTGGTTTGTTGAATTTCATAGATGGATTATGGTCGGCTTGCGGCGGCGAGAGAATAATAGTGTTCACCACCAACCACGTGGAACAGCTCGACCCTGCTCTTATTCGGAGAGGTCGCATGGATAAGCACATAGAATTATCCTATTGTTGCTTCGAGCGTTTAAGACCCTTGCCAAGAATTATTTGGACATTGAATCCCATGCTTTATATGAAACCATTCGGAGTTGTTGGAGAGACAAAGATGACTCCGCCGATGTTGCGGAGAACTTGATGCCAAAGTCCGAGGAGGAGGACGAGAGAACTTGTCTGCATGATCTAATAAAAGCGCTGGAGGAAGCGAAGGAACAAGCAAGGTTGAAAGCCGAGGAGGAAGAGAAAGAGAGGTTGAAGGCAGAGGAAGAAGAGAGGATTAAGGCTGAGAAAGAAAAGGAGGAGAAAGAGACAAAGAAGGAAGAGAAAGGTGGGGAAGAAGGGAAAGACAAGGAAATAGTCATTAATGGGAGGCTAAAGAAAATGGGTCCATCGAGTAATTTAAGGAAAGCTGCGTAGCAGAGGAATAGGTGAAATTTGATTTGAAAAGAAAAAAGGGAAAAACAAATGCCACGCCGGTTTAGTGATTACAGCTGCAATGAATTTTCATTTCCATGAGCCACCATTTGTACTCTTTTTAACATAAGAAAGCCAATTAGGATTAAAAAAAAAAAAAAAGACTTGAAAGCCGAAGCTTCTTATAATAAAAGGGTGTTTCTTGCTTTTCCATAACCTTTGAATGTTTTAATGTAAAAAAAAGTTGTGGCTTGCCAATTAGCCAAACATCCCTGAACTTCACCAAGAGACCCCATGTTTAATATGTTATATATATATTTGCTAAAACCAATTGGTCTTGGCCCCTTGGTTGGGATCAACAGGTATATCTAATGTGCCGATATATTCATATTTTATCTTATTATTTATAATGAATTCTTTAATCTTAAAAAAATTGAAATCTTTTTGTGACTTTTGAAAACTTTTTACAATAATTTTTCATTGACTTGTTGACGTGTCAACAATTCTCAACCATAAAATAAAATTTAAGTATATAGCATGTAAAACCACTCTCAGACATGTAAATAATCTTTACTTGCACGATGAAAGACGAAACTATGGATTGTTTGCTATTCTTCCATGATATGGCCCCTCATGTAAGTATAAACATATAATTTGTCATGAATTGTGTATTATAATATGCACAAAAATTATAAAAATATAAAATAATTTTTTAAAAATTAAAAATAATAAAATATCGTCTATTGAATTTCTAAATTTAACTATTTACATATATAACATGACATTTAAGACTCAAATTCAAGTGTATTTCTTATTTATGCGTAGGAAAATGTATATATCAAATTTTGTGCCTCTCGGACAAGATAAGTGGACAACATATTGTTAACAAAAATTTTCAAAATTAATTTAGAACTTTTCGATGCACACAATCACTCCTAAGATATTTGAAAATTTATTTTTAAATTCTTTTTTGCATTATTTAAGTAAAAAAGGTAAAATCAGAAGTAAATTTAAAACTATGGACCATGAGTACTTTTATATAAGTAACATTACTATAATTAAGTAAAAATTATTTTAGATATTTTTAAATTTTTTCTTATATTCAAAATTATTGCACAATTTATTTTTTAAATTTTTTCTTCTCCTAAAATAAATTATAAAAAACTCAATGCCAATTTTACTATTTTAAAAAATTTATAACATATTTTTCAAACTTATTTAACTTCTGATTATAATTAACTTTTATCGACTTTTATTTTAAATTCTAACTTCTAATTTTCTAGTAGTATTTACAAATCCCACCGAACTCTATAACTTCTTGTTGGATTCCACTTGAAGAGGGAAAAAAAATATTGAATCTTTGCGGTCAATTTTTCTAACCATGTCACTTTTCCAAAATTAAGAATTTGATTTCCTTGTGTCAAAAAAATTGTGATATGATTTTATATTCATTGTAAAATATTGTATATTCTATTTTTTAAACATTTCACAAATAATATGTTTTTTAATAAAACAATAATGGCCGCGGATCACGGTACTATTTCATAGTTATGCCCAATCGGGGATACCGGCTGCATCAACTGCTTCATTTTCTTTTTCTGTCAAAACTTAAAGAATGAATCAACGACAAAAGTATTAGCAAAAACTAAAATCAAACGACCAGAATTATGCCACGTGTTTATTATTATATGTATTTACTTTATTTTAGATTGACGCGGGTTAGAAAAAATTGCACCGGCCTCTATCTCTCCATGTATATAATATTCATATGCATATATTATATTTTTCGGATAGACTTGGTTATGTATTTTTAGTACCAGAAACTCTGAAAATATCTGATGATGTCATCATCCTTCGCAATAATATCATAATAATGATGTCAAGTGCTCCACTATTTAAGGATTTTCAATTTGGTAGTCCAACTTTAAAAAATTTCAATTTAATCCAATTCTGATTAGATGTTGGGGTCAAGTTGTCAGCAAGTGTAGGAATTTCTTTCATTTGCCACGTTGTCACGGCATGGACTTCAGATTAGTAACTTAGTCGACATTTACTTGGAGTTGGGTTGGGTGATGATTTTGAGGGTGTGTTTGACAAAATTAAAGAATATTTGTTAACAATTTTATAGACTAGATTTGAGTATTGAAAGATTTATGTGTTGAATATTTTTAAATTTAAAAGCTTAACATATATAATGAATATGAAATTATCTGGTTTCAATTATTGTTAATATTCATTAACTATTAAAATAAATTTTATTTAGATACAAATCCACTTTCAATCGATTTTTAGATTTAATTGATTGATTACTGACCGTAATCAAATGCATTAATTTTGAAATGTTTAAATATGTTTGTTTTATATACTGGATTGCGTTAGTAAATATACTTCAAGACATAAGTTAGTAAGTTCACTAAATTGAGAAGTTTTAAAGTTAGGTGCCTAGATTGAGAATCTCCAAACAGTTGGGTGACTATTTATTTAGCCATTCTGAACGTCACTCTCTGAGTCTCGGCGGCCATAGGGCCTCAGTCAAACTTGCAGGCCACGGAAACGCCATTAATTGTTGTTGGGAGTATCAAGGACTTTTATCATAAAAAAATAAAGACAACGAAGGGTAAAATATAGTTTATAGTTTACTAATAGAAACCCCATTGACGCAAACTGGATTAGCGAAATATTTCACTTGACGCCATCTATCTCCTCCCCTCTATAAAAAACCCTTGAACTCCGCGGTTTTGTTTATAACTGCAATATTTCATAAACGGAAAGGAGAAGAGAAGAAGATGATGATGAACAAGGAAGGATCAGAGATGCTGACTAAATTAGGCTCTGCCATGGCAGGGCTCATGTTCATCTGGGCCATGTTCAAGCAATACTTCCCCTTCGAACTCCAAATCCATTTCGAAAAATACGTTCAAAAGCTGGTCAGCTTCGTCTACCCTTACATCGAAATCACCTTCCATGAATATACTGAGTTCGGCTTTCAGCGGAGCAAGGTCTATTCCGCCATTGAAAGGTACCTGAGCTACAATTCTGCTGACAGGGCCAAGCGGCTCAAGGCCGAGATGGTCGACGACTCTAAGAAGCTGGTTCTGAGCATGGCCGATTATGAAGAGATTACAGATAATTTTAATGGAGTGAAGGTTTGGTGGGCTTGGAGAAAGGCCTTCCTAACAGTCAAGTGATCTCGTATTTCCCCAATGAAGACGAGAAGAGGTATTACAAACTCACTTTTCACAAAAGGCACCGGCAGATGATCACGGGGACTTACCTCAGCCATGTGATGGAGCAAGGGAAGGCCATTGCGGTGAAGGACAGGCAGAGGAAGCTCTATACTAACAACAGTAAAAAGAGGTATTTTTGGACTAAATTTATAAACACATGCCTGTTTTGATTTCTTGTTGATAGTAAAATTTTCTATCCAGTTTTTAGAAATAGAAAATCCTTTGCCAGGTTAACTTGAAATTTGTTTGTGGGGGAATGTTTAGCAATCATACTGATTAGAAAAATATAAAAAATAAGAAATTATTTTAGCAAGAAATAAATATAATATAAAAAATAACGAGAGTTCTCTTACTGAAAAAAATAAAAAAGAGAGGATATAAATCAACAGAAACCTATTTTCTAAATACCTCGTAATCATTAATTTTTATCTAATGGGAAATGTTTGCTGTTTCGGAGAGTCTCCACAATCCCAAGGAGGCTAAGCACACCGGCTACTGTCCAATTTTTCCTTTTCATTTTTTAATTTTCCTCTTTTTTGAGTAATTTTTTCTCAATAAAAAGAAAATCCAATAATGTGTATGATGTAGAAATGAAAATTTTCGTGGGCGTGTTTGGATACATTGATAAAATAAAAATTCATATTCATCATTATGTTTAATAAATTAAAATAAAAAAAAAATACAATTTTTCAAAAATAAAAATATCTTTTATTAAAAAGAATTAAAAATTAAATAAATTTTTATTTGTAATATGTAACAAATATATTAAAAATTTTATATTCTAATCTTTATATATATATATATATAACATGGTAGTTATACAGTCAAACGATAAAATAAAATTTAGGTTATTTATATTATCTCGTTTAATAAAATTTTGATTACATACAAAGTAAGAATTCTTAAATAAAAGTGCTCAACGAACAAATTTTTTCCAAAATTTTCACCCCTTTCTTTAATAAAATTCTATCCTATTACATGTCACGTAGGAGAAAGAAGTGCAGCGTACTCTGTGAGAACAAAGATAGACAACCAAAATTATAGAAGTGGGTGAAAATTTGAGTTAATTAAAAACTGATCATTAGAATAGTTCAGACAAATGGGAATTTTGTAGCCATTTTTATCACTGGGAATAAATAATACACCTCAAGCAAGTAATATATTAATAAAGTGATTAAATAATTGCAACAGGCACGTTGGGTTTTGGAGGTACACTATGTGGAGCCACGTGGTTTTTGAACACCCAGCGACTTTCTCGACTCTGGCCATGGAGCCCAAGAAGAAGCAGGAGATCGTCAAAGATCTCCTCAAATCAGCATGGGAAAAGAGTATTACGCCAAGATTGGTAAGCCCTGGAAGAGAGGGTATCTGCTCTATGGCCCGCCCGGTACCGGAAAATCCACCATGATCGCGGCCATGGCTAATCTTCTCGACTACGACGTTTACGATCTCGAATTGACGGCGGTGAAGGACAATACGGAGCTGAGGAAGCTAATGATCGAGACATCCAGTAAATCGATTATCGTTATTGAGGATATCGACTGCTCGCTCGATCTCACAGGCCAGAGGAAGAAGCAAGAAAAGGTGTTTTATTTATTAAATTTATGATTACATATTATGATTAGTTTATAATTGCTGCTGTTTAACTTCAAATTTTGAGATGTTCCCAACAAAAGGATAAGAAGAAAGAGGAAGAGGACACAATTGCAAAGAAGATGAAGGAAGGGGATGATAGCAAGGAGAGCAAGGTTACTTTGTCTGGCTGTTGAATTTCATAGATGGGTTGTGGTCGGCTTGTGGCGGTGAGAGATTGATAGTGTTCACCACCAACCACTTGGACAAGCTGGACCCTGCTCTGATTCGGAGCGGTCGCATGGACAAGCACATAGAAATGTCCTACTGTTGCTTCGAGGCGTTTAAGGTTCTTGCAAGGAATTACTTGGACATTGAATCTCACGATTTATTTGAAACCATTCGAAGGTTGTTGGAGGAGACAGAGATGACTCCTGCCGATGTTGCTGAGAATTTGATGCCAAAGTCTGAGGAGGCGGACCCGGAGACTTGTCTGCAGAGTTTAGTAAAAGCGCTGGAAGAAGCGAAGGAACGAGCGAGGCTGAAAGCTGAGGAAGAAGAGAAAGAGAGGTTGAAGGCAGAGGAAGAAGAGAGGAACAAGGCTAAGAAAGAAGAGGAGAAAGAGACAAAGAAGGAAGCGAAGACTGGGGAAGAAGCGAAGGACAAGGAAATAGTCGTTAACGGGGAGGCCAAAGAAAATGAGTCCATCAAGTAATTAAAGAAAAGCTGAGTGGGAATAGACTAGATTTGTTGTGAAAAAATAATAAGAAAGAAAATAAAAGCAGCTGCCTTGAATTTTTCATTTTCACGAGCCCCCATTCTGAACTTAAGAAAATCAATTAGGATTAAGAAGAGGTAAAATATATTTTGTCCTTAAAATATTATTGTGATAATATTTATCCCTTCAAAATATAAAATATAACAATTTATCTTCTAAAATTTGCAATCATTCTACAGAAATAACTAAACAAATGATTATAACAAATTAATATAATAATCTAATGTACTATTTGGCCTCTTAACCAACATTGTTCACATGGTTTATAATTTAGCAAATATTGTCTACAAAATAACCACTTTTATTATAATACAAATTTATAATTAATTAAAAAATTTACCTTTCAACCAATCTAAAAAATAACACCTTTCATTATAAAAAATATAATAATATTAACAACCTTTATAAAATTAATCTTATCCCTAATTTATAAATGCACGCTCTCTATGATGACCGAGTATAAGTTTGCAGATTAAATATGCTCACTGTCACAAGAAGATGGAAAAAAAAGAAAGAGAAAAAGAAAAAATAAAATAAAAAATGAGTTTAGTACGTTCAGCAACCGAAAGAAGCTTATGTAGATTAGATTTTGGAAAAAAAAATAAAACTAATAGAGGGTTATACATTTGAAGATTGGGAAGAAGATTAATTTATAAAAATTATAATTTTCTTTTTTTTTTTTGTAACAATGAAAGTTGTTATTTTTTTAGATTAGTTGGGAGTTAGAATTTTTTAATTAATTAAATTTTTTTGTGACATTAAAGGAAACCGTGCTCTACCCTTAAAAAAATGAGAGCCCAAACCCAGGGCATTATTTGTTATTGTAAAAGGGTGTTGCTTGCTTTGACTCTTTTGAGATAAATATTATCGTGTAACAGAAGACATAAGAAATTTTGAAAATAAAACTTAAAAGCTTGCCAGCTAATTAACCAGACATCCCTAAACTTCATCAAGATACCCATGTTATTTATATAATGTAGTAAAATCAGTTGCTCTTAGATCCGATGTGCCGATATATTCACATTCTATCTTATTATTTTTTACTCATTCTTTAATCTTAAAAAAACAATTTGAGACCTATACACTGCCTGAAGTAAAACTTTTTTTTGGCTGGTTGATGCTGTGATAATTTTCAGCCCTAAAATAAAATTTATGTACCACCCGTAAATTAAATATTAGGGTTTAATTTTGATATTTATAGGAATTAATTTGAATAAATTAAAAGTTTTTAATGTCATTTTGAAATGAGAAAGAAATGAAGGGACCAACTGTAATTTTATCTTTTCTTTCTTTCCCCTTTTTCCTTCCCCTTTTCCTTCGACTTTTCCTTGCATGCGATGCCCCTTTCTCCCAAACTCTTATCCTCTTCCCTTTTTCTTCCATAACTGATTCTTCCTTTATTCTTCTTCCGCAAAGCCACCAATATTATTTTTCCGTTTCTCTTTCTTTCCCCTGCCACTTGCCCCTCCAGCCGATCGTTTGCTACAATTGTTTCTTTGCTTTCCACAGGTGAACGCGTTGAGCAAATTCTTATTTCGGTACATTTCCTGCTCCTTCTTTCTCTTCTTTTCTCCTTTGTTGGCTTTGCCTCACAGGTTAGTTTTCTGCCTCCAGTTAGTGCTAACTGAATAGCAGGGATGCCGCTTTCATTCTCACCTCATGCTACACTACTAGAAAAGGGCAATTTTTGATGCAAAAAATGCATCGGTAAGATCACATATTCCATCAAAAACAAGGATATTGACGCAATAACTGATGTGTTGGAAAATGGTCGTCTAAAAAAAATTACCAACGCAAAATTGCTCTTGTTAGTAATTTCTGACGCAAACGACATCGGAAAAAAATTGTCCTGATGACTTTGCTTGAATTTTTGACACAAAAAGAAAATTTTTTTACAAAAAGACTCACATGGTTTCCGACACAAGATTTTATTTATAGACGCAAATTACGTTGGTTAATAATATTTTTAGTTATTTTTTAACATTTATTTCAGCGCAAACTTGCATCAAAATTTTCCAGTGCAAATTTTGCGTTAGAAATTTCCGGTGCAAATTTTGCATCAGAAATTTCCGAGGAAACATGCATCAAAATTTTCTGACATAGGTTTTGCGCCGGAAATTTCTGACGTAAAGTTTCATTAGAAAACTACCTATTTTATTAATTTAAAAATTAAAATATTAAATTAATTTAATATTTAAATTATAAAATACCGACGCAAAATACTAGTGGTATTTTTCTTTCAAAATTAAAATATGTAAGAGAATTTTTTTAAATATTTATTTTAGCAACACATTTTCCAACTATTGTTTGCATTGAAAATTAATACTCTATTTTTTATTATTTTATATAATTAATTAATTATTATTAATTATTCAATTAATATTAATTAAATTAATTCAAATTTTAGAGTAAAATCAATGTATATATATTTTTTAATATATATATTATATTTTAATTTATTTAAAATAATATATTTTGTAATATATATTAATAATTTTTATTAATTAATTATGTATTATTATTAATTATCAAAAATTTAATTAATAAAAATTAAATTAGTTCAAAATTCTGTAACAAATGTACATATTTCAAATATATATTTATTGTAATTTATTTAATATACGCACTAAAATAAAATTAAAAATAACATATGTATAAATATTTGTGAGAATAATATTCAAATATCTCAGTATAAAGATAAAACAATGTCACTATATAAATATTAAACAATGTTACTAAAAAAAAAAAGTCACTCCTGACGATTACCGTCGTCCGACTGAGATGATGAATAGGAATCGTGTGTAGGAGCAAGAGGGCATGACTAACCAAGTGGTATGCCCTTCATCTTTTCAATCATCTTAAACAAATTTTTGAAAGACAACCTCCATATTCTCCATTTTTTCTCGAAGTTCCTTATTTTCTTGATGGAGATTCTGCACCTCCAGTAGCATAGAAGATTGATTAGTAATATCGGATGGAGGATAATAGACTGACTAGGAAGAACTTGTCTTCCAAGACTGTATATACAGCTAAAGGCTCTCCCCCCAACACACATTTCCCAAAGCTCAATGTCTACCATATGTTGAGAATTTCGAGTAGACGTCTCCTTAGGTGCCGACTGAGGGATCGGGCAGTCTGCAAGTCAGTCTACATACATAAATATATCTTAGAATAAGTTTAATAATTAAAGATATTGATTATAAAAAGTTAATAAATAATATAAATATTTAGTAAATTAAATAAAATTTACTTACATAAGTTTTTTTTTTTTTTTTAATCGTTGGTCCACCCACACTTCCTCACCATCCTTATTGCTAATATGAGTATGCTTAAAAATTTCAAAAAAATGGGGAGTCCGATCGGTCTCTTTTTCCTGCAATACATAATAAATTTTTTTTAGTTATTTGTAACTATCAAATAATAATAAAATTTACAATTCTCATAGCATACTCATGCAGAGGAATAGAGTCTCTTGTGTGGAGAGAATCGTCTTTTTATGAACGAGGTTCCTTTTATTCTGAGATCTTATCTTATTAAACTTCTCTCATTTCCAATAAATATGAAGCTCATCTCACACAGAAGGTGGGAAACAGTTCAGTTTATCTCTAATCCGAGCATCCAAAATATATCAGAAAGCTTATGAGATCCACAAGTACTGAATATCTGTCTCATGGCTGGCTCGCCCCGTGGATCCCATGTACAATATTTCTACATAAAGACACAAACAAATAGTTAATAAAAAATCAAATATTATTACAGAGAATAAAAATTTAATCATAATTACATCGGAATACGAATTCGAAACTCATCAAACCACAAATTGTAGTGAACTGTCATCCATGTAGGATAACATGATGTAAACTTTGATTGAATAACTGCTGTGATAGCATGAGCAGCAGGCGTCGAATGATGAAATCTGCAAAAGCAAAAAAAAGAATCAATATTTGTGATTGAAATGTTAGAAAATATTTATCAAAATTCTTGAATAATTAATATTGAATACTTACCCTATGTCACCAATGGGCCTAATCAGCGTCTTCCTAGAACTACTACAAGAAGTGGAAGATAATCTGACTCGAGCAGGGTCAGACGGAGAAGAATCGGGTTCGAAGACAGAGGGAGAAGCGCTATCAGTAGAAACAACAGTATTGCAGTAGAAGCCGATAAAGCGGGTCCTCCAACAATAGATGGAATAGGAATGTATACAAAGGTAGGCATGAACTGAAGAGGTCGTGACACGTACTAAGAATGTGGAGTCCCGTAATTATAATATGTATGAGTAGGGTCAACAGGCTCCCTAATAATCACTGAAAGCAAGGGTCTGGAAAGATGGTGTGCAGGAGGATCTCGCTGCTTTTTTGAGCAACCAATATCTATACCCTTACCCTTATCAGGTTTATGCTTGAAATCTTTCTATATTGATAGACACATGCAATTTATTTTTTAAAATTACATAAGATAAAAGGAATTATTACTTAACTTTGAGCATTAAAAAATAATACTACTTATTTTTTAAAATAAATCTTACATTTATTGAGTTGTAGAATTTTTTAATAAATTTTATAATTATTTATTTTCATATTTACAATTATTTTTAATAAATCTTATTTAAAATCATATATCTCTTTCATCTGTAATAACCCCTTTTATAGCTCTATCCACAATTTAGAAAAAGAGATGTAATTATTAGCAATCAAAATATAAAAATATTAATTACTCAAAAAGAGAGAATATAATTCACTGTCTGCAAAATATACAAAACAAAAAATCTACCAATTTAATTTGAATAACCTTGATCATCCTCCTCCCCCTTTTCTTCCTCATAATCTCCCAATGGTTCGGTGTCGTCATCATATTCAATAAATTCTTCCTCCTCATCTTCATTTTTGTATTGATCATTTTTTGTCGATCATTCTTGATCCCCCTATATTCGATCA